GATCACCGACTCTCCCGTTGACAATTCGGCGACGGCTAATTTAAATTACCAGATATCTGCTGGCATTGCTCATCCCATAGCCTTAATAGACTAAGTACCGTATTTCCAGCAGTTAGTTTTTAAGGATTTGATTTGTTTCAGGTTTGATAACGGATTGATTTCAGTTAGAGAGCCACTGAAAACCGAAGAGTATTGGAAAGTTGTTTCGTTCTAACATGAGACTCTTCCCATGTACACAACCATGATCTTACAGCTGGGGATCGAATCCAGAACCTTTATTTTACAAGGCTATACTCGTTCACCATTCAGCCCCTTGAAATGAAATTCAATGGAACAGGAATTCTAACCTTGGTCGAATGGCAATTTAACATGACCACCAGGCAGTATCATCAGTTAGCTTTCTTCCTCACATGTGACCTGTTCAACCTCTGGTAACTTGTAGGTTTCGGGTCCAATCCCTGTTGGGGTTATGTGTAAGTAGAGATGAAGAGTCCTAAGCAAGGAGGATGAAACGACTGTCTAGTACTCCCTGATTTTTAATGACTCTCTGACATCACTCCATTTGGCTGTCTTCCTTCCTTCCTTCTTTTCTTTTCTTTTTCTATTTAGTTTTCCTGCCTAAAAATTCGTAACTACAACTTTTTTTGTATACTGTATTCCTATTTCCGAAAACTTCCAACCATTCTACTGAATGTCTGCACCTACATAAAATGACACTTAAAAGCCATTTTTATGTATCGTTAGTATTACTGTTACTCATGTTAATATTCTTTTGTGCACTGGATACTGTTTCAGAACTAACTACCCACCGAAAACATTCAAAATTCTTTCAAGAAGCTGTCATATTTCCTAACACTTTATAATCCTTTCTTGACTAGTAATATCAATAACTCACTTCATGGTATCTTCGCACTTACATACAGCTTACCACCTCTGACTTACCAGCACTAATCCTGTTACTTGACAGTTTGAAACTCATCTAAAGTTTCTTTTACTTCCTTCACGTTCCCAGTGAAACATACGGCTTCAAGCCGGTGGCTTAAAGTTTCTGTAGCAGTGTTTGATTTTACAGGATGGAACTGCTAGCCTCATGCCTAACCTTTCCTCTTTACCAGTCTTATTACTGATTTAGGGAGGTAAATAAATGCGTCGGCCTGGGATCGAACCCCGGACCATGTGCATGGTCAACAAGCGTCTTAACCGCTGTGCCACCGACGCACTATCTAAATTTGCACGTCTTTAGATTCAAAAATATATTCTACGTTAAATTAAATATGTTCATGGAATACGTAACTATCATGATTATAACCCAACCGCATCAAAAACAACCACCTCAGCTAAACACTTTTGTCATTATTTCAAAATAGATCGGAAAAAGTACTGTTTGATCAGAATATATCAAGCTTTGAAATTGTATAATGACATAACAGTAGACCAGAAACTGTTAGGTTGTGTATGATTTCACGTGAGTATTTTCATCTTTTGCAGCATACAATGGTAAATTATTATTATCTAGGGGATGAGGCTTCGAGTACTGCTTACTGCTCATAATTATTTTTTTTCTTTCACGTTCCCCATTGGAACATAGGGCTCCAAGCTAGAAGCTTGAAGTTTCCGTAGCAGTGTTAATTTCTACAGGATGGGGTTGCTAGCCTCATGCCCAACCTTTTCGTTTTACCAGTTTCAGGGCTGGCCTAGTGAGGTAAAGGAGTGCGTTGGCGAGCGTCCTAACTGCTGTGCCACCGACGTGCTGATAATTATATGGGTGAGTAATTCTCTGTCAAAAGAGATCGTGTATGCTCCTGAACACAAAGGTTCTACTTCATTGTCTGTTGAGTCAGAAATCTGATCAGGTAGTCAACAAATTTATATTTTAAGAAATCAACCAAATGTAAGGAAACATCACTACCATAAGCAGTGAATGCATACACCACGAGTAGAGAATATCTTATTTATAGTTGGACAAGCAAACAGCTTAGAAAGCAAATAGATGACAGTGTTTAACTTGCATTCCTAACGAAAAATTATTTAGTAATTACATGCATATTTGTTAATTACTAGTACTCTAGTTTTAACTCTCTCATTACGTCGCTTTCAGAAAGCCATGAGTTATCTATATTGCGAAGAAATGTGAACCCTAAAATAGGGAACTACTACTTAATGACATTTGGCAAGAGTCCATTTAGAAAGTAATCATAACTCTCAAGACAAATAAATTTTAGAATGTAAGTAATGATTCCATTGTGCATAGTAGATAATTTAGTACTGAAATAAAGTGCAGTGGGTCGGACGTACATTGTGGAAACTGTTGATAGAAATCACGTACCAAGCTATAACTCAAATAAAAAAGACGAATAAAGCGTCCAAGGATGAGATGGTAGGGATCACGTGAGGAGGAGGCGAGGACAGCTTATGATCACTTGTGGAGCCAGATAAAAAATGCTAATGTTCCAGTCGTGATCCAAGGGTATAAAAGTGACACCAATGCTACCGACCAGCTACAATTCAAAGGAGAAATGTCTCAATTCCTAAGTCAGTCAACTTATAAAATTGGAACTCAAGTGGGTATCAGACATTTTAGTCTACTCAGATACAAGATCATTCAGGTTAAGGATCAAACTGACTAAATCAGACAAAGTTATTTAATTTTTCAAATATCTAATAAATGTGCGATTACATACATAAGTTGAATAAGCCGATGAGAGTTAACCAGGTTAATGGAACATAAGAATTTAACCAAGTAAAGAAAGCTAAAGTGGACTAAAACAAATCGCTTGAAAGTTGAACAACCGTGATGAAAATGCCAAAGCATAATCAAAAAATAGAATGAGTCTGAGTATCAGTCTTATAAAGTATTACAGTTCAAAGGGGAAAATAGAGTAACTAATCACTTGATCACTGTTCACCAAATCACAACCCAGCATATGCAGTAGGAATGACTTAAAACCAAAAAGAGATATTTGGAAATTTCCACTGCGAAAAAATTAAACAAACAATGGAACAATGAAAGAAATAAGTTATAATACTAAGCAACTACGTGTAAACGATTTGAGATAGTAAGTTTGCCCCCAAATGTATGCTATGCTAGGTAAACCCCAAATTCAAAAGCAACTCTTCTCCACTAAAGCAACGGAGTGTCACAACTTTATTATTCTTCTTCTTCTTTATTCTTTCTCCCTACTCTTAGATCACTAATAACTTTATTTTATGCTTGGTGTGACTATTAACTGCGAGATCAGATAGATCATCAGAAATGTAGTCTATAAATGCCTCACATTTCAAAATGAACATTAATACATTCCAAATCTAGTAAATAAAGATAATCCTTTGAGTATTTATTCTGATGGCGCCATAAGACAGATTTTTTATGTACCAAATAAAAGAACTTTTGTCACCTACTTATTCAGTAGTACGCTTCCTAAATTATATTTTTCAAGAAACTACTATAAAGTATTATAAAGCATTTATTATAATTCCAGTGTGTTTAAGTCTATCCCTTCTCTCTTATTTACTGCATTCGATGTAGTTAAAATATTCAAGGCTTCATAGGTCAGCCTTTCTTCGTGTAAATGAAGCCTCTTCCTAGGATTTTGATATTTTCGGAGTCGATCCTATGTTCGCTGTCTGTAGGATGCACTGCTGTGGCTGATCTTTTTCCGATGCTTTTTAACTCCTTTTCATTTTTGGGTGGACGTTTCGCGTATGTTCAATGTTCATTCACTATGACCTTCACCTGTCTACTGCTCTACCCTATATAACAAGCTTCAAATGCTGGACACTTTATCCTATAGACACAATTACTTCGTGACATTTTTCGAAGGATATGTTTGACATTTACCAAAGCCTTCCCTAGAGAGTTATAGGGATTGATATAGACTTTAATAACATATGAAGCAAATAGTTTTTGAAGTCGTTCAGCTATGTCCTTTCAATATGGATTGGCTATTGTCGATAGCGAAAATTTTCGAATTTTCTGTTTTCCTTTCTTTTCCTTTTTATTGATAATATTATTTAGCAGCTTTTCTAAATAACCATTTCCAATCAAAATATGTTATATGCTGGAGATCTCATTCTCTATATCATCATGATCCGTTATAATGTTTCTAGCTCTATTAACAAAATTTAAAGCTACTAAAACTTTCATTCTTATTTCAATGAGCTCCAAGCTACGGGCTTGAAGTTTCGGGTACCAGTAGTGTTTATCTTTACGGGATGGGGTTGCTATAGTCTCATGTCCAACTTTCCCTCTTTATCAGTCTTATTACTGGTTTAGCCGAGGTAAAAGAGTGCGTCTGTGGCCAGGGATCGAACCTGGCCTGAACCACATGAGGTGTAGTTGACAAATATTCTACGGGCTGTGCCATCACCAACACACACACACACACGGTTTATTATTTAACAGTCTATAAAAAAACAAACACACCAGAAACCTGACAGAAAATACTCAAAACACACAAATATGTTCACATAACTTAAAAAGTAACTTAAATCTTCAATGGAATAATAAATATTAATTTTGGTTTCTTTAAAAGTTTTAATAGTTTTTATACATACATATGATTATTGTTATTATTACTATTACTACTAATTTCAAAGAATTACATTTCACCACAAAAAAAAGTTCAAAGAATCTCAACCTAAATCTTCACAAAATGAATAATAATAATCATAATGATAATAATAATGATAAATTAAATATTACAAACTATAAACTATAACCTAATATGAGTTTATTTTGTTAATAACCTACACAGATACACATAGAAAGCCATACATACTCACCTTCTGTATTTCTCTTTCACTGTGTTACCCACGCATACATATTTATAAATAAGGATACAATGAGCACAGAATACCTTAGCTGAGCAAACAAACAAAGTAACTAACTGACTAACTAAGAAACAAACAGCATAGAAAGCAAATAAATGACAATACATAATGTTATGCATTCTTGACTAAATGTATTAATAATAATAAATTTATTTACTAAACATATATGTAGAATTTGGAATCATTAGTTAAAAAAAGTAGAAAAAGTCACCATAGTACTAATGTTAGTTAGTCTATTTGACTGTCAGAGTACATTAAAAGAGTTTTAAAAAAGATAGCGCGGGTGTGTAAGCATATTCTGTGCACATATATGTAAGAAGTTATACTTTTTCTTCACTTTTTACTCTCTTCTTTTTTATATTTTTGCTAAAATAAACCTACTGAATAAATAACTTCATGATGATGATGATGATGATGAAGTCAGGTGAAGTGAAGCCAGTCTACTAAAAATTTTAATCCACGAATGAAATTTGTAATAAAAAAAAATACACCAAAATAAGTTTAGCATGTCATTTTAGTATAAATTCACAATTTCTTATTCATTTAATCACATTTTACATCTACACGTGTATTCTCCACCGTATTACAACACAGACAATGGTTGAACGTAAAGCTGTTATCAAGAATGCTGATATGCATGAAGATATGCAAGAGGTTGCAGTGCATACAGCTGTTGCTGCACTTGATAAATATGAAATTGAAAAAGATATTGCTGCATATGTAAAGAAAGAATTCGATCGTAAATACAATCCAAACTGGCATTGTATTGTTGGAAAACACTTTGGCAGGTAAATTATTTGGCAAATTGTATTTATATCCTATAAATATTTATATCAAACGATTTATCTCATACTATTTTATATATATATATATATATATATATATATATAAAAGGCTTTCATTACCCTTAAGTCTGTGTGGAGGTCAACATCACTCAGCATCAAAAATAAGATCCAGATTTTCAACTCCAGTGGGAAGTCAGTGTTACTTTACGAATCAGAGACTTGGCGCGTCATAAAGAGCATCTCAAACAAACTACAGACCTTCATTAACAGTCGTCTTCGCTCAATACTCAAGATCAGATGGCCGGCCAGAAAACATCAGCAACAAAGATATCTGGGAGCGAACCAACCAGGAACCGATTGTGAAACAAATAGGCAGGAAGAAATGGAGATGGATTGGCCATACACTGAGGAAGCCATCCAGTGACACCACTAGACAAGCCATTGCTCTAGTGGAACCCGAAAGGGAAACGGCGAGTTGGTCGTCAGTGTGAGGGTGACTTGGAGGAGGTCATGTGAGGAGGAGATGAAAGCATGTGGGCAGACTTGGAGCGGAGTGAAAAAGTTGGCAGAAAACAGAAGGCAATGGAGGTGCGCAGGTGAAGCCCTATGTTCCTCTAGGAATTAAAGGATATTATATATATATATATATATATTGATAAAACCTAATCCGTCATTCTATATATGTATATCTTAATTTCAGTTATGTAACACACGAAACCCAACACTTCATCTACTTCTACCTTCAAGATAGAGCCTTCTTACTCTTCAAATCTGGTTAAACAAAATGATGAATAAAAATTGAAGGAAAAATCCAATGAAGTCATTAGCTTACTTTTTTTATGCATGTCTACAAACAATTATTTTAGGAGCCAACACTATTGTAAAAAAAAAATAAAATTATGATTCATAATTTTATAAAGAATAGTACACTGTAATATTGAAACAAAAATTTAATATATATACATATTTTGTAATTTTGTTAAAATTCAGTGAATAAATTTTAATTTGCTGTTGGTTTGTAACTTGCTTTCTTTTTCCGTGGCATTTCTTTGGTATCGGTTAATATTGAATCGTTGAATTAGTGTGAATATTTAAATTTGCCGAGACTGCTTATCACAGCTGGATTCTATTCCACTACTTAGTCAAACTACGAAGTTAAAAGTTTGTATTATTATTAACTCTTAATAGCAACATATAAAGCGGACTAGAGTGAAAATAATAGGTACTGTAATTTCTCCAATTTGATTTCGCAGATCTGAGTGGTTGCAACTAGCTGTTACGACTCTCTGACGATTAGGGAAACAATTTTGTCGCAAACATTGAATGTACAACTAAACTCTATCGGATTACTTCATGTAATAGCTATTAGTTAGTTAGGCGAAATAACTTATCATCATATAATTGGTAAGATGTGAAATTTAAGCGCTCAGATCAGCTTTCATTCTTGCTAAATGTAAGTGGACGATTAAGAGCTTCGCTTTACTTCTGAAAATTATCTTCACAACAACTTGTTAGAAAAAAAACCGGCTGGATTATTTATAGTGATGGATTTGTTGTAGTAAATAGTATGTTGTCCAGAAAAGTCTTATTCATCAGCATATCTGTTACAGTTTTCTAACTATGAAAACGTGTAGAATTCATATAAAAAATAAAGTTTTATGAAAAATTGATTCAGACTGTGTGTGTCGGTGGCATAGTGGTTAGGACTCTCGCCGACCATGCACATGGTCCTAGGTTCGATCCTCTGCCAACGCACACCTGATACCTATGGTTGGCCTGCAAAAGTTGGGCTACCGATATCCATGCTGAAAATTACATACTTGTACCAAAAATACGGTGTGGAATCAAGCTGTAATCAAAAAAATAAAAATAAAATAAAATTCATATAAGAAATAAAGTTTTATGAAAAATTGATTCAGACTGTTTAGCGGTTAGTGTTTAGTAGGAAAGAAGGTAATTTGTGCAAATACAGTTGGGAAGACAAAGAAGCCCTTCAACATATTTAAGCGAGCGGTTATTTTAGCTGAAAAGCTCAAAGAGAGCGTCATGTAAAAGTATAATTTCATTGAAATGTTAGAGCAGATAATCCACCACGATACTGAGTTATGTCACATTCAAAAGCAAACGTTACTTTTGTTACCAAAATACTGCTTGCACACTTCCTTGTCTTCAAAGAAGAATTTGTTAAAGTCACAGTTTATGTGTTACATTCAAAAAGCTCTTTAAACTCACTTTAAACCTGCGGTTAATGATGAAACCACTGAGAACACATTACCAGTTACCAACAAATTAATTTCAGGTTTAATGATGAAGAGACTTCAGTTAGAGAACCGTTGAAAATCAAGAAGTACTGCAGAGCTAATTAGTCCTAGGCTGAGACTATTCACAGCAGTACGCATCCATGACCTCACTGCCAGGGATGTAACCTAGCACCCTGACATCATGAGGTGAGTTAGTTGGACATTCAGCAGCTGTGATGGAATTTAATAGATCATCATCATCATCTCTAGTGAGCACTAAATTAATTTTTAAAGTGTTTGTTTGTAGCGATTTGACTGATTTCAAGTTAATTCAGTAATCTCTAGTCTTCAGATGTTCCCTAATTGAAGTTACTTCCTGATCAAACTTCAAATCAAACAAATACCCGCTAACCAACAATTATCAGTCCAAATTAAATTATTTGGTTAATTTGATGTTACTACTTTCAAGGCTTTGTAAGTAGTGAAAGTTCTAATAAAATAATAGTTTCGCTTACAGCTGAGGATAATGTCATGCAGTATTTCTCGTTATAGCCTAGACTACTTAGGTTCATGCGGAAATTTACACTCACAGTCTTCTAATTATTTCTATTTGGAAATTTAGACATTATTTAAATGATGGTGATCACAAAGCTGTTAATTATCATCTGATTTTGTGTAATTGTGAAATTATTTTACTATAAAAATACATAAACCAGGTTACCCCGTGAGACCAACAGTAGAATTCAGAAATACACCCACTTATGAATTATCAAAACGCTTAGCTCTTAAGCTATGTCCCGTTGGAAATCACTCAAGCTCTAGGCTAACTAATTTATATTAGTTATTAAGAAGACAATTGCAGCGAAGAAAATTTTCTTTTCGACGAAGTCATCATCTAGGCTGTACATTCGTGTATTTATATCAAACGGATGGGAAACCCACGCTTTTGTATCCAAAAGAAATACGTCCAACCCCTTTCCCTGCCATGGCCATCATAAACAGGGGGATGGATAATTTTTTAAAGATGACCATCCCATCGCCTTTCTCATCGAAACTTCCTGTTTATTCATGTTATTTTAAGGTTTTCTTAATCCCTGTTTACACTACCATATATTCATATCCGAACTTCCTGTCTATTTCGTCATTTTATTATTTCTACATATTTAATCCCTGATTGCATAAACAATTATTCGTCACATTAGTTATGATCCCACTAGATACTGATTTATCCAAACATCCTGTCTATTTTGTTATTTCTACATTTCTAACCCCCTAATTGCACAATGTCAATCTTCTTAGTCATTATGATGCTACTTTGTTTGTTTTATCCGTCCCCCTGTTTATTATGCCATTCTAATTCCTAATTGTAATTTTTAATTTGAACCTTAACCGGAAATTATTCTGGAACTTTCTCATCCATTCGATATAAATCCCGGTGGGTGCGTACTGCTGAGGAGTCCCAAACTAGGACGAAACAGCTGTCCAGTACTCCCAGGTTTTCCAGTGGTTCTCTAACTGATGTCAGCTCATGATCAAATCCTCCACACGAATGTACAGCCTAAATGATGACTTCGTCGAAAAGAAAATTTTCTTCGCTGCAACTGTCTACTTAATAACTTTTATGAAATGAAAAGGAAATTAAATAAGTTTCAATTATAGAATAATGAAAAAATGGTTAGTTTTGATATAACTAGTCTTTACACCAATATACCAATCAGTATGGCCTTATAAGCGGTTGAAAGAGAACTAACTTCTGATCTTAAACTAAGTCACAAGACATAGCTTCCCACTGAGAAAATTATTTTAGGAATTCAGTTATGCCTCACGTCTACTATCTTTAAATTTCAGGGCAAAATACAGGGACAAACAGAAGGTGTAGCAATGAGATCACTAATATCCCCAATAACGGTAGATATCTTTACGAATATTGGGAAAACACTGCTCTTAATACATTTAATCCTACTCCAAAGATATGCTGGAGATGTATGTATGACACTTTCACTTGCAGTGATAAAAACAGAACACAAATCAAGCTTCTTCACACACATAAACACAATAGTGAAGAGAATAAAATTCACATTAGAATCGGAAAATGAACAGGTAGGATTAGTTATGTTAGTTTGTAAATTAAAAAGAACTGAAGAACGTAAGCTGTACACCAGTGTTTATAAAGAGCCAACGCATTCTAATAGATATTTGGACTTTAATTAATTTCAACCGTTGTCTGTAGAAATACCCTCAGTTAAATATCTAACAAACCGAGCAGTAGCACTAAGTAGTACAACAGAAAACCCAAACGATGAAGTGAAACAGATGGGAGAAGCGTTGTCATTCAATAACTACCCTATAATATTCATTAAGTAGATCAAAAATGATCAAAGGCAAAACAAAAATAATGGTGAAACTAATAATGATAACATAAATAAGAGAGAATAGAAGGCATCTGGAGTTCCACCAAATATGAAGGGAACATCGGAGGCCCTACGTAGGATTCTTAATAAAGCAGAAATTAGGGTGACATTCAAACCTATAAACTCACTCAGAGACAAGCTATGTTGGCTAAAGGACCTGGTGGACCCAAATAAACAAAGCAATATAATTTAGAAAATGCCTTACAATGACTGTGAGTGAGGTCAGCTACATAAGTAAAACTAGTAGATCAGGAGTAGTGAGATTATCAGAGCATAAGAACTTAACTAAGGTTAGAATGATTGATCCAACGAAGATAAGTAATTTAAGAAAAAACTCATCTATAGTACTGCATGGATTAACACACAACCACACTAAAGGGTGAGGCTGAGTCAAAGTTCTAAAAGGTAATATGGGTGGGTAGGTGGAGAGAGGGATTGATTACTGAATTTTGGTTCATCGAGTCTACACCCAACACATGCAATAGAACCGACTCAACGCAAATACCAGATATATGAGGATATTATTACCAGCCAAATAAGAGAATAATAAATAATGTTAAAATGTATTCAATTCACATTATAACCTTCTAGCAGGTTAATCATTTTCACTATAAAAACATCTTATTTTATTGATAGCATTAATATTATTATTTCCGCATGTCTTATCTTGATTTTATTCAAATGTCTAATCAGTTTTTATACATGTATATACATGAAGCGAGAAATTTGTGTGACGAGTACATTGATATGATTCTGAGCAATAATTTGTACTCGAAACGTCATCAGCAAATGTTACTATCTAACATTGTAGGACTTTATCAAAATAAAATTTTCTCCATAATGGGATTGTGTGTTGATTCTTCACATTGCGGTTTGTGGTTAAGAATAAAAGTTGGAGCAACCGTTAATTTTTTCGTATCAATTATCTGTTAGCTACTTCTTCAAATGAAATGTAAGAAAACAAAGATAACACTCTGAGTTCATCCTGAGAATCTATCTCCTGTGAAGTAAACCAATAAGAAGGAGCAATATTCAAGTGTTGGGTTGTAGGGATTTGATTGGTTTACAAGATTTCATTATGAGCTGAAATTGGTTAGAGAACCATCGGAAAACCTGAGAGTGCTGGACAGCTGTTTCGTCCATCCTAGTTTGGGACTCTTCATCAGTACGCACCCACAGCTAGGGTTTGAACCCAGGACCTCCTAGTTACAAGGCGAGCTCGTAGACCATCAAGCCACTGGGACCCGATCCAACGGTCTATGAATTCCAACTTCTGCCGATTCACGATATAGCGCAACCTCTAGCCAATGTCTTCAGCGAGTATTTGTCCTCACCCGCGACCTGCTGCACCCTACTAGTGACAACTTTTCA